TTAATATAATTTATGTATTCTTAACTTATATTTTAATAAAACATAATAAAAAAATCAAATAAGGAAGTTGGTTAGCCATATATTTTAGAAATTGTCATTATAAATCCACTAAATTTGGGGTAAGTTTAAAAAGTATATTGTAGGGGAGGTTATTTTTAAAATTTTTTTTAGACAATTCATCTAAAAATTTATTTTTTATTAATATTTTTAAAAATTAGTTGTTGAATTAAAAGTTGTATTTGTATAAATCATACATATTAATTTTAAATTATTTTAACAAATCTAACAACTTTATTGATTATAAAAAATCTAATACTATTAAATATATGTTAATAAATAAAAAATTTTAATTAAAATGTTATAAATATTAAATTAATATATATTTAATATTATAAATTTAAAATAAATAAAAAATAACTATTTAAATAATATAAAAAATAATATAAAAAATTATTCTTAAATCATCTTCTTTAAAGCTTTTATACTTAACATTTAAGGTTTCCAAAGTGCAGACCCCCATGTGCTCAAGTGGCTACGCTGCGCTTGAATAGCAGGTCGTCTGCACTCTTTCAGTGGTTTGAGCCTTTTCACTAATAGATACTAATACTACCTCTAATCAATTCTTACTGTCAAAAAAAAAAAAAAAGAGGTTTCCAAAGTAAACGGAACATATTTTCCCTCTTGTTTCTTCTACTTCTAGTCCTTTTAGTTTTCAAGAGATCTTCGGTTTCAGCCCACCAAACAGTATTTTCCGGTTTTGGCGCCCAAGCCCTAATTTTAGGCCCGAAGCCTGTTGCACCTGAACAGAAGCAAAACTACGTGGTGTGGTGTGGTGTGGTGCGGTGCGGGCTTCGGTTAAAAAAGATAGTTTGCTCAAGCTCTAATTCCGAAACAAACATATGAGTGTAAGCTGTGATTATATCAAAGGAAAAGCTGATTAAAAAAAAAAGAGATAAAGAAGATGAAAAGAATGGATAAAAAGTTAATAGATTACATTGCAGGCATTTCCAAATTAGAGACTACCCATGGTGTCTTTCGGCCTTGTGAATCCACAGATCTGACGAACGGAAAAAAGGAAAAGCTGATATATAAAAAAAAAAAAAAGATAAATAAAAAGTCATAGATTACTGCACTGCAGATAATTCCAAGCTAGAGAAGAAGTAAAAAAGCCAGCTAGAGCAACTACGGTGTCTGTCAGGTGAATCCGCGATTTAACTGGTTCTCCTATTTTTTCCTACATGCTTGGCAAACCCTCATGGTGGATAGCCGATTGATGTTTAATGTCAGCTTTAGGGTTTTTAAACGATATTTGCAGAGGTTCACCATCCATTTGTGTCGTAGTCAACCTCTTTTCCTTATCCTGGCTGCTGCTGTGGCGGGCCGGTAGTTGCTGCGGTGGGCAGGCTGATTGATAAGTGATGACAGCATCTAGATTTCGGAAACATTCCTACAGAGGTTGCGCCAGCCATTGGTTTCATAGTCAACCCACTACGGCGGCTGCTCTGTAGAAATCGTTTCCGAAGTCCAGATGCTGCCGTTGTTGCTGCCCTGGCTAGCTGCTGTTGGCATTGATGAGGCTTCTCTCTGCTGACAAGAAGAGGGGGCTAACGCAGAGGAGGGGTTACGAAAAATGAAGAGGAAGTGAGGAGCATATATAGAGGCTTGAGAAAGCCTAGCTAGTCACCTTCAATTCAGGAGGTCGTCAATTAAAAATGCTGGCCAGATTCACATCTGTAAATTGTAAAAGGGTTCTGTAACATGTGACTTAAAAAGAGTACACTTAATGTATATTAATTATATTTTTTAAATAATTTCTTTACATAAAAAATAAAAATTAACTTTAAATAT